TGGGGTGTGAAAATAGGGGAAAAGTGGTGAAAATTGGGCAAAAAATGGGTGAAAAATGGGTGAAAAATGGGGATTTTGGGGGGAAATTTGGGTTTTTGAGCATGCCTGGGCACACCTGGGCACACCTGGGCGCACCTGGGCACACCTGGGGGCATTTACACTGGGCAGACTGGTGAAAATTGGGTGAAAAATGGGTTAAAAATGGGTTAAAAATGGGTTTTTTTGGGGGATATTTGGGTTTTTGGGCACACCTGGGTACACCAGGGGGCACCTGGGCACAGCTGGGGGGTGAAAATAGGGGAAAACTGGCGAAAACTGGGTGAAAATTGGGCAAAAAATGGGTAAAAAATGGGTTAAAAATGGGAATTTGGGGGGAAATTTGGGGTTTTGGGCACACCTGGGCACACCTGGGTAGGCAAATTTGGGGAGAAATGGCGAAAATTGGGTGAAAAATGGGTTAAAAATGGGCTTTTGGGGGAAATTTGGGAATTTGGGCACACCTGGGGCAGCTTTGGGGGCATTTTTGGGGCATGTTGTGGCATTTTTTGAGGGTTTTTTGGCCTATTTTTGGGTATTTTTGGGGTAGTTTTGGGACATTTTTTGGAGATTGTTTTGGGGTTTTGGGGGGTTTTTGGGGTGATTTTGGGGGTTTTTTGGGGGGGCTTTTTTGGGTTTTTTTGGGGCATTTTTTGGCTTTTTTTGGTGAATTTTTGGGGCATTTTTTTGCAATTTTTGGGCATTTTTTTGGGTATTTTGGGGCATTATTTGGATATTTTTGGGTATTTTTGGGGTATTTTTTGGGGTATTTTGGGGCTTTTTTGGGTATTTTTGACGCATTTTTGGGGCATTTTTTGGGGCATTTTTTTGCAATTTTTGGGTATTTTTTTCACCTATTGATCGCTATTGATCACCTGTAGAGCACATTGATCACCGATTGATCACCTATTGATCACCTATGGGGCACCTATTGGTCACCTATTGATCACAACTGATCGCTATTCATCACCTATGGAGCACCTATTGATCACCTATTGGTCACCTATTGATCACCTATTGATCCCTATTGATCACCTGTGGGGCAGCTATTGATCACCTATTGATCACCTATTGATCGCTATTGATCGCTATTGATCACCGATTGATCACCGATTGATCGCTATTGATCACCTATTGGACACCTATTGGTTACCTATTGAGCGCTATTGATAACCTATTGATCACTATTGATCACCAGTAGGGCACCTATTGGTCACTATTCATCACCTATTGGACACCTATTGATCACCTATTGGTCACTATTGATCACCTATTGGTTACCTATTGGTTACCTATTGGTCACTTATTGAGCGCTATTGATCCCTATTGGTCACTATTGATCACCTATTGGTCACCTATTGGTCACCATTGATCACCTATTGGTCACTATTGATAACCTATTGGTTACCTATTGGTCACCTGTGGGGCACCTATTGGTCACCTATTGATCGCTATTGATCACCTATTGATCACCTATTGATCGCTATTGATCGCTATTGATCACCGATTGATCACCGATTGATCGCTATTGATCACCTATTGGACACCTATTGGTTACCTATTGAGCGCTATTGATAACCTATTGATCACTATTGATCACCAGTAGGGCACCTATTGGTCACTATTCATCACCTATTGGACACCTATTGATCACCTATTGGTCACTATTGATCACCTATTGGTTACCTATTGGTTACCTATTGGTCACTTATTGAGCGCTATTGATCCCTATTGGTCACTATTGATCACCTATTGGTCACCTATTGATCGCTATTGATCACCTGTAGAGCACATTGATCACCGATTGATCACCTATTGATCACCTATGGGGCACCTATTGGTCACCTATTGATCACAACTGATCGCTATTCATCACCTATGGAGCACCTATTGATCACCTATTGGTCACCTATTGATCACCTATTGATCCCTATTGATCACCTGTGGGGCAGCTATTGATCACCTATTGATCACCTATTGATCGCTATTGATCACCTATTGATCACTATTGATAACCTATGGGGCACCTATTGGTCACTATTGATCACCTATTGGTTACCTGTTGGTCACTATTGATCACCTATTGGTCACCTATTGGTCACTATTGATCACCTATTGGTTACCTGTGGGGCACCTATTGGTCACTATTGATCACCTATTGATCCCTATTGATCGCGATTGATCACTATTGATCGCTATTGATAACCTATTGGTTACCTATTGGTCACCTGTGGGGCACCTATTGATCACCTATTGGTAACCTATTGATAACCTATTGGACACCTATTGGTCACTATTGATCACCTATTGGTCACCTACCTCCCCCCAGGCCATCGATGACGACTGCAACCAGACCGGGCAGATCCTGGCCGCCATGTTGGACTGGCCGCAGGTAGGCCGCGCGCGGGGCACCATGGGATACATCCACCCACGGGGGGGATAAATCCCGTCATCCCCCGCGGCAGTGGTGGGGTATATCCCACAATGCCTTGTAATGGGGGATATATCCCGTGGTGCACCGCGGCGGGGGGTTGTGGGATATATTCCCCTCGAATCGCGGGGGATTGTGGGATATATTCACCTCGAGTCGCGGGGGATTGTGGGATATATTCACCCCAAATCGCGGGGGATTATGGGATATATTCACCCCAAAGGCTGTGAAAGTCGGGAAGGTCCAGACCGTACTGGGAGGGTCCAGCTCTTACTGGGAGGGTCTATAACTCTACTATTGATCCCTATTGATCGCTATTGATCACCTATTGATCACTATTGATAACCTATGGGGCACCTATTGGTCACTATTGATCACCTATTGATCGCTATTGATCCCTATTGATTGCTATGGATCCCCTACTGATCACTTATTGATCACCTATTGATGCCTATGGAGCCGCTGTGGATCACCTATAGAACACTACTGATCCCCTAAGGATCCCCTATGGATCTCCTATTGATCCCCTACAGAACCCTATTGACACCCTAGGGATCTCCACAGAACCATATTGATCCCCTATAGATCCCCTATGAATCCCTACAGAACCCTATTGGTCCCTATGGAGACCCTATAGAACCTCATAGAACCCTATAGATCCCCTGTAGAACCCGATCCCTACTGATCCCCTATGGAGCCCCTATGGATCCCCTATAGAACACTATTGATACCCTATAGATCTCTATAGAACTATATGGATCCCCTATAGATCCCCTATGGATCCCCTATAGATCCCCACAGAGACCCTACAGAAACAAATGGATCCGTATGGATCCCTACAGAATCTTACAGTACCCTACAGAACCCCTAGAGACCCCAACAAACCCCTACAGACCCCAACAAACCCCTATAGATCCCCTATAGATCCCCTATAGATCCCCTGTCCCCCTCCCCCCAGGCCATCGATGACGATTGCAACCAGACCGGGCAGATCCTGGCCGCCATGTTGGACTGGCCGCAGGTAGGCCGCGCGCGGGGCACCATGGGATACATCCACCCACGGGGGGGATAAATCCCGTCATCCCCCGCGGCAGTGGTGGGGTATATCCCACAATGCCTTGTAATGGGGGATATATCCCGTGGTGCACCGCGGCGGGGGGTTGTGGGATATATTCCCCTCGAATCGCGGGGGATTGTGGGATATATTCACCTCGAGTCGCGGGGGATTGTGGGATATATTCACCCCAAATCGCGGGGGATTATGGGATATATTCACCCCAAAGGCTGTGAAAGTCGGGAAGGTCCAGACCGTACTGGGAGGGTCCAGCTCTTACTGGGAGGGTCTATAACTCTTACTGGGAGGCTCCCAGTGCACACTGGTCCGTTCCTGGTCCCGCAGGGCACGTTCGCCTCGCGGGTGCAGCTGGAGTCCGGGGCCGTGCGCGTGGAGCGCGAGGTGGACGGCGGCCTGGAGACGCTGCGGCTGCGGCTGCCGGCCGTGCTGACGGCCGACCTGCGGCTCAACGAGCCCCGCTACGCCACGCTGCCCAACATCATGGTGCGTGGGGGAACCCCCAGAGCCCCAGCGTTCCCCAGGGGGTCCCCAAAAACCCCTGGGATTCCGCAGAAATTCCCAGAAATTCCCGTGGTTCCCATAGCGGCCAATGGGGGTAGACCTGTTGTCCGCAGTGCCTGGGGTCACTAAGAATGGGATTTCCCCAAAATTCTGGCTATTCCCAAAATTTTTGGGACTCACCCAAAGTTTTCAGTGTTCCCCATATCTCCAGGATCCCCAAATTCCTGGGGCATTTCCAAAAATTCCCGAAATTCCACAAAAATTCCTGTGGTTCCCATAGCAGCCAATGGGGGTAGACCTGTTGTCCGCAATGCCTGGGGTCACTAAGAATGGGATTTCCCCAAAATTTCCTGGAGCTCCCAAAATTCCCGAGACTCCCCCAAATTTCTGGCTGTTCCGCAAATCATGGCAATTCCCTAAATCCCAAAAATTCCCAGGAAAGTCCCGAAATTCCACAAAAATTCCTGTGGTTCCCATAGCAGCCAATGGGGGTAGACCTGTTGTCCCAAACCTGGGGTCACTAAGAAAGGGATTTCCCCAAAATTTCCTGGAGCTCCCAAAATTCCCGAGACTCCCCCAAATTTCTGGCTGTTCCGCAAATCATGGCAATTCCCTAAATCCCAAAAATTCCCAGGAAAGTCCCGAAATTCCACAAAAATTCCTGTGGTTCCCATAGCAGCCAATGGGGGTAGACCTGTTGTCCCAAACCTGGGGTCACTAAGAAAGGGATTTCCCCAAAATTTCCTGGAGCTCCCAAAATTCCCGAGACTCCCCCAAATTTCTGGCTGTTCCGCAAATCATGGCAATTCCCTAAATCCCAAAAATTCCCAGGAAAGTCCCGAAATTCCACAAAAATTCCTGTGGTTCCCATAGCAGCCAATGGGGGTAGACCTGTTGTCCCAAACCTGGGGTCACTAAGAAAGGGATTTCCCCAAAATTTCCTGGAGCTCCCAAAATTCCCGAGACTCCCCCAAATTTCTGGCTGTTCCGCAAATCATGGCAATTCCCTAAATCCCAAAAATTCCCAGGAAAGTCCCGAAATTCCACAAAAATTCCTGTGGTTCCCATAGCAGCCAATGGGGGTAGACCTGTTGTCCCAAACCTGGGGTCACTAAGAAAGGGATTTCCCCAAAATTTCCTGGAGCTCCCAAAATTCCCGAGACTCCCCCAAATTTCTGGCTGTTCCGCAAATCATGGCAATTCCCTAAATCCCAAAAATTCCCAGGAAAGTCCCGAAATTCCACAAAAATTCCTGTGGTTCCCATAGCAGCCAATGGGGGTAGACCTGTTGTCCCAAACCTGGGGTCACTAAGAAAGGGATTTCCCCAAAATTTCCTGGAGCTCCCAAAATTCCCGAGACTCCCCCAAATTTCTGGCTGTTCCGCAAATCATGGCAATTCCCTAAATCCCAAAAATTCCCAGGAAAGTCCCGAAATTCCACAAAAATTCCTGTGGTTCCCATAGCAGCCAATGGGGGTAGACCTGTTGTCCCAAACCTGGGGTCACTAAGAAAGGGATTTCCCCAAAATTTCCTGGAGCTCCCAAAATTCCCGAGACTCCCCCAAATTTTTGGCTGTTCCCCAAATCCTGGCTATTCCCTAAATCCCAAAAATTCCCAGGAAAGTCCCGAAATTCCACAAAAATTCCCCAAAATTCCAGCCACCCAAACCTGGGGTCAGTGGGGTCAGTAAGAGCTCCGCCAAAAATCCCAAAAAATGCCTTTAAAACTCCCCCAAAAGTTCCCAAAAAATCCCCCAAAAATGCCCCCCAAAAATTCCTAAAAAAATTCTTAATGATTGCCAAAAAAATCCTAAAAAAATCCTAAAATATGTTCCAAAAATTTCCCAAAAAATCCTTTAAAAATCCTGAAAAATCCCCAAAATTTCCTGAAAATCCAAAAAAATTCAAAAAAAATTCTAAAAAAACCCTATAAAATTTTTAAAAAACTCCTAAAAAATCCTCAAAACCCCCTCAAAAAATTAAAAAAAAATTCCCAAAAATATCCTAAAAAATAAAAGAAAAATCCCCACAAAATCCTAAAAAAAAATCCTGAAAAAAAATCCCCAAAAAAATCCTTTAAAAATGCAAAAAAATCCTAAAAAGATCCTGAAAGAAATCTGAAAAAATCCTAAAACAATAAAAAAAAATCTGAAAAAATCCTAAAAAAATCCTTAACAAATCCTTAAAAAAATCCTTAAAAAATCCTAAAAAAATCTTAAAAAATTTCCCAAAAATCCCCCAAAAATCTTAAAAAAATCCCCCAAAAATCCGAAAAAAATCCTAAAAAGATCCTGAAAAAATCCCCCACAAAATCCTGAAAAAATCCGAAAAAAACCCCAAGAAAATCCTAAAAAAATCCCCCAAAAATCTTAAAAAATCCCCCAAAAATCCGAAAAAAATCCTAAAAAAATCCTTAAAAAATCCTAAAAAAATCCTGAAAAAATCCGAAAAAAATCCCCCAAAAATCCCCAAAATCCCCCTAAAAAAATCCCAATTTTCCCCCCAGAAAGCCAAGAAGAAGCCGCTGGAGGTGATCCCCGCGGCCGAGCTGGGCGTGCCCGCGGGCGCCCCCCGGCTGAAGGTGCTGCAGGTGCAGGAGCCGCCCCCCAGGGCCGGGGGGCAGAAGGTGGACAGCGTGGAGAGCCTGCTGGGGAAACTGAGGCACGCCGGCCGCATCTGAGAGTCCCAGTCCATCCCAGTTCACCTCAGTGCCTTCCCAGTCCATCCCAGTGCCACAGGGAGGGGAGAGCACGGAGAGCCTGCTGGGGAAACTGAGGCACGCCGGCCGCATCTGAGAGTCCCAGTCCATCCCAGTTCACCTCAGTGCCTTCCCAGTCCATCCCAGTGCCACAGGGAGGGGAGAGCACGGAGAGCCTGCTGGGGAAACTGAGGCACGCCGGCCGCATCTGAGAGTCCCAGTCCATCCCAGTTCATCCCAGTTCACCTCAGTGCCTTCCCAGTTCATCCCAGTGCCCCAGGGAGGGGAGAGCACGGAGAGCCTGCTGGGGAAACTGAGGCACGCCGGCCGCATCTGACGCACCAGCTCATCCCAGTCTGTCCCAGTCCCTCCCAGTTCGTCCCAGTCCGTCCCAGTCCACCCCAGTCCATCCCAGTGCCACAGGGAGGGGAGAGCACGGAGAGCCTGCTGGGGAAACTGAGGCACGCCGGCCGCATCTGAGAGTCCCAGTCCATCCCAGTTCACCTCAGTGCCTTCCCAGTCCATCCCAGTGCCACAGGGAGGGGAGAGCACGGAGAGCCTGCTGGGCCAAATCCTGGCTATTCCCTAAATCCCCAAAACTCCCAGGAAAGTCCTAAAAATTCCACAAAAAGTCCCGTGGTTCCCATAGTGGCCAATGGGGGTAGACCTGTTGTCCCAAACCTGGGGTCACTAAGAAAGGGATTTCCCCAAAATTTCCTGGAGCTCCCAAAATTCCCGAGACTCCCCCAAATTTCTGGCTGTTCCCCAAATCCTGGCTATTCCCTAAATCCCAAAAATTCCCAGGAAAGTCCCGAAATTCCACAAAAATTCCCCAAAATTCGAGCCACCCAAACCTGGGGTCAGTGGGGTCAGTAAGAGCTCCGCCAAAAATCCCAAAAAATGCCTTTAAAACTCCCCCAAAAGTTCCCAAAAAATCCCCCAAAAATGCCCCCCAAAAATTCCTAAAAAAATTCTTAATGATTGCCAAAAAAATCCTAAAAAATTCCTAAAATATGCTCAAAAAATTTCCCAAAAAATCCTTTAAAAATCCTGAAAAATCCCCAAAATTTCCTGAAAATCCAAAAAAATTCAAAAAAAATTCTAAAAAAACCCTATAAAAATTTTTAAAAACTCCTAAAAAATCCCCAAAACCCCCTCAAAAAATTTAAAAAAATTCCCAAAAATATCCTAAAAAATAAAAGAAAAATCCCCACAAAATTCTAAAAAAAAATCCTGAAAAAAATCCCAAAAAAATCCTTTAAAAATCCAAAAAAAATCCTAAAAAGATCCTGAAAAAAAATCTGAAAAAATCCTAAAAAAATCCGAAAAAATCCTAAAACAATAAAAAAAAAAATCCTAAAAAAATCCTTAACAAATCCTTAACAAAATCCTTAAAAAATCCTAAAAAAATCTTAAAAAATTTCCCAAAAATCCCCCAAAAATCTTAAAAAAATCCCCCAAAAATCCGAAAAAAATCCTAAAAAAATCCTGAAAAAATTCCCCACAAAATCCTGAAAAAATCCGAAAAAAACCCCAAGAAAATCCTAAAAAAATCCCCCAAAAATCTTAAAAAATCCCCCAAAAATCCGAAAAAAATCCTAAAAAAATCCTTAAAAAATCCTAAAAAAATCCTGAAAAAATCCGAAAAAAATCCCCCAAAAATCCCCCAAAAATCCCCCTAAAAAAATCCCAATTTTCCCCCCAGAAAGCCAAGAAGAAGCCGCTGGAGGTGATCCCCGCGGCCGAGCTGGGCGTGCCCGCGGGCGCCCCCCGGCTGAAGGTGCTGCAGGTGCAGGAGCCGCCCCCCAGGGCCGGGGGGCAGAAGGTGGACAGCGTGGAGAGCCTGCTGGGGAAACTGAGGCACGCCGGCCGCATCTGAGAGTCCCAGTCCATCCCAGTTCATCCCAGTTCACCTCAGTGCCTTCCCAGTTCATCCCAGTGCCCCAGGGAGGGGAGAGCACGGAGAGCCTGCTGGGGAAACTGAGGCACGCCGGCCGCATCTGAGAGTCCCAGTCCATCCCAGTTCATCCCAGTTCACCTCAGTGCCTTCCCAGTTCATCCCAGTGCCCTCTGGCCCAGTTCCCCCCAGTGCCTTCCCCCCCCCCCACCCCAATAAAGGCCTGGCCAGTCCATGACGTCATCGCTTTCTATGAGGGGGCGTGGCTTAAGCGAGCGGGGGCGGGGCCATACCCTGGCCCAGTTTTACTGGTTTTGGGTGGTTTTTGCTGCGGGGGCGTCCCGGTATAAAGCAGTTTGTCCCAGTTCAGGCCCTGGCGGGTCCCAGTTTGTCCCAGTATAACCCAGCGCCTCCCAGTCCGCTCCCAGTTTGTCCCAGTTCGTCCCAGTTCGTCCCGGTCTTCAACACGGCGCCTCCGCGTTGCCCAGCAACCCTTCGCCCCGCCCCCCCGCGCGCTGCCAATCAACCGCGTCGCCCAATCAGAACACGAGTTCTCCAGCCGTCCGCATGGGCGGGGTTTCAACTGACAGACAGCGCGCTGAACCAATAGGAAGACTCGGCAGGCGGGCTCTGCGGCAGCGCTGACCAATCAGCGCCTCGGAAGCCCTGCAGGAGCGGAGCGGGCGGCCCCGTGCGGCCCCTCAGAGCCGGGGCGGCGGCGGCGGCGAAGATGGCGGCGGCGGACGGCGACGATTCGCTTTACCCCATCGCGGTGCTCATCGACGAGCTCCGCAACGAGGACGTGCAGGTACCGCTACCGGGGCCTCGCAGCGATACCCCCGGGGCTTTTTCCGGGGCTTCGGGGCCTTTTCCGTGGCCGCCGGGGCCCGGCCGCCATCGCCCGCTGGTCCTCTGCTGATGGCCGCCATGAGACGGCCGCGCTGATTGGCTGAGGCGGCCCGGTCCCCTCAGGCGCGGGCGAATGGGTGGCGGCGTTACATGCGTGGGGCGGTTGGTGGTTGCGGTGAAAGGCGCGCTGTGATTGGCTGGAAGGGCAGTTTGGGTTTGTTAGACGCGTTCTGATTGGTCGGCGGCGCTCTGAGGGGAGAAATCCGCCCCGCCCGCCGTAGCGCTCCCTAGCGGCGGGGCGCGCGGCTCCCTCCTCGCCGAAGCCAATGGCAGCGCGAGGCCGCGGCAGCGCCGCGCTCCATTGGCTGCTGCCTGCATGGGCGGGGCTTAGCGGAGCCAATCGGAGGCCTCCTCGCTGCCGCGGCGCCGCTGCAGAGCCGTGAGACGCCGCTCCTGATTGGCCGCTGCGCGTTGTGGGCGGGGTTTCCTCCTGAGGGGGGCGATTCCCGCGGTTTTTTTCCCCCGATTTTCCCCGAATTTTCCCAAATTTTCCTGATTTTCCCCCATTTTTTCATCCCAGCTGCGCCTCAACAGCATCAAGAAGCTCTCAACCATCGCGCTGGCGCTGGGCGTGGAGCGAACCCGCAGCGAACTCCTCCCTTTCCTCACCGGTACCAAAACTTCCCGGGAAGGCCCCAAAATTTGGGTGAAAACTCCCAGAATTTGTGGGGGACGCGTCCCCAAAATCCAAGTGGGGGTGGGACAGCCCTGGGAAGTCCCAAAATTCCCTTGGAAACGCCAAAAACCGCCCGGATTTTGGAAGGCGGGCGGGGTTTTGTGGGAGGTGGGCGGGGCCTGTGGGTGATTGACAGGTGTCAGAGGGGCCGGGTGAGTGACAGGTGTGTTACCTGTGCGGTCGCAGACACCATCTACGATGAGGACGAGGTGCTGCTGGCCCTGGCGGAGCAGCTGGGCACCTTCACCGCCCTCGTGGGGGGACCTGAGTTCGTGCACTGCCTGCTGGTAGGGGAAACACTCACCTGGGGGGGACAAAAAGTCACCTGGGGGGGGTGAAAAACTCACCTGGGGGGGACAAAAACACACCTGGGGAACATCTGGGGACACCAAACCACACCTGGGGGCACAAAAGCACACCTGGGGAACATCTGGGGACACCAAACCACACCTGGGGGCACAAAAGCACACCTGGGGAACATCTGGGGACACCAAACCACACCTGGGGGCACAAAAGCACACCTGGGGAACATCTGGGGACACCAAACCACACCTGGGGGCACAAAAGCACACCTGGGGAACATCTGGGGACACCAAACCACACCTGGGGGCACAAAAGCACACCTGGGGAACATCTGGGGACACCAAACCACACCTGGGGGCACAAAAGCACACCTGGGGAACATCTGGGGACACCAAACCACACCTGGGGGCACAAAAGCACACCTGGGGAACATCTGGGGACACCAAACCACACCTGGGGGCACAAAAGCACACCTGGGGAACATCTGGGGACACCAAACCACACCTGGGGGCACAAAAGCACACCTGGGGAACATCTGGGGACACCAAACCACACCTGGGGGCACAAAAGCACACCTGGGGAACATCTGGGGACACCAAACCACACCTGGGGGCACAAAAGCACACCTGGGGAACATCTGGGGACACCAAACCACACCTGGGGGCACAAAAGCACACCTGGGGAACATCTGGGGACACCAAACCACACCTGGGGGCACAAAAGCACACCTGGGGAACATCTGGGGACACCAAACCACACCTGGGGGCACAAAAGCACACCTGGGGAACATCTGGGGACACCAAACCACACCTGGGGGCACAAAAGCACACCTGGGGAACATCTGGGGACACCAAACCACACCTGGGGGCACAAAAGCACACCTGGGGAACATCTGGGGACACCAAACCACACCTGGGGGCACAAAAGCACACCTGGGGAACATCTGGGGACACCAAACCACACCTGGGGGCACAAAAGCACACCTGGGGAACATCTGGGGACACCAAACCACACCTGGGGGCACAAAAGCACACCTGGGGAACATCTGGGGACACCAAACCACACCTGGGGGCACAAAAGCACACCTGGGGAACATCTGGGGACACCAAACCACACCTGGGGGCACAAAAGCACACCTGGGGAACATCTGGGGACACCAAACCACACCTGGGGGCACAAAAGCACACCTGGGGAACATCTGGGGACACCAAACCACACCTGGGGAACATCTGGGGACACCAAACCACACCTGGGGGCACAAAAGCACACCTGGGGAACATCTGGGGACACAAAACCACACCTGGGGGGACAAAACCACACCTGGGGAACATCTGGGGACACACCTGCACACCTGGGGGGACAAAAACACACCTGGGGAACATCTGGGGACACACCTGAGGAGTTGAAAGTACACCTGGGGAGCCCCAAAACACACCTGAGCACACCTGGGCGGGGCTAACACACACCTGGGAGCCCCGAAGCGCCATCCCGTGTCCGTGCCTTGTCCCTCTGTCCATCCCATGTCTATCTGTCCATCCCACGTCCATGTGTCCATCCCACATCCACCTGCCCACCCAATGTCCATCCTGTGTCCACCTGTCTATCCTACATCTTTCTACCCATCCCATGTCCATCTGACCACCCAATGTCCACCTGTCCATCCCACATCCCTCTGTCCATCCTGTATCCATCTGTCCATCCCGTGTCCACCTGCCCACCCAATGTCCATCCTGTGTCCACCTGTCCATCCTACATCCTTCTACCCATCCCATGTCCATCTGACCACCCAATGTCCGTCTGTCCATCCCACATCCCTCTGTCCATCCTGTGTCCACCTGTCCATCCCGTGTCCACCTGCCCACCCAATGTCCATCTGTCCATCCCACATCCCTCTGTCCATCCCGTGTCCATCTGACCACCCAATGTCCACCTGCCCACCCAATGTCCACCTGTCCATCCCGTGTCCACCTGTCCATCCTACATCCCTGTGTCCATCCCACATCCCTTTGTCCGTCCTGTGTCCATCTGTCCATCTCACATCTCTCTGCCCATGCTGTGTCTGTCTGTCCACCCTGTGTCCGTCCTATATCCACCTGCCCACCCAATGTCCATCCCGTGTCCATCTGTCCATCCCGTGTCCCTCTGACCACCCAGTGTCCCCCTGTCCATCCCACATTCCTCTGTCCATCCCACGTCCACCTGCCCACCCAATGTCCATCTGTCCATCCTGTGTCCACCCGCCCACCCAATGTCCATCTGTCCATCC